ATAGGGATAGGGTAGAAATGTTATAATAATGTTGTATTTATTGTTTTGTGGTTGTCAGTTTTTGATATTTGTATAGAGGAATATCGCTAGACGCACAAGAAATCAGCATAGATTAGGAGAACTGGATACCGAATTGTAGTCGTTGACTGACAGTATTGATATGTATTCAAATCTTAGTTTCAAATTCAAACGGTTAGGTTAAGCATATATAATTATTTTTTTTTGAATGTTTTAGATTTGAAAGAAGAGAAACATGAAAATCATAAAATTTGTTTTGATTTTTCTCTACTATTTGAGGACAGCACGCCCAGAGATTATTGCTTATGATTGCGCCGACCGAGCGACCGAATTGACAAAAGTGTCTTTGCTGGCAGTAAAACCATGCCAAGACCCTCGTAACTTTTCCGAGTCCAACTTCAGACGAATCCAGCTGGTACAAAAACGACAATATGTACCAATTCATATACTCACCTGTCAAGTTACTGTCCAACAACTCATTGATCATTGCGGCATGTATAGTCATCGCAGTACCGTAGCCGGAGGTTTTGGAAAATATATTCAGCACATAGACCCAGAACAATGTCTGAAGGCTCACCGATTCCGTCAGTTAGACCTCCAAGGAATGGGAGCTGGTGTTATTTCCAAACTTAATCTAAATGGGACCACAGAAGTTTCGGCAACTCTTCAAGGTTTTGCCGACGCCAATGGTCGATGCGAAGGTGTAAGATTCGCCGTGGGTTCCATCCAATATACTAATGTCGTAGTTACCGCAGCAATATCCATTAAACTCCAAGATTATGTTGTGATTGCCGATGTCGAACGAAATCTAGTTACCCTACGGTCTGGTGGTGTCTGTCCGTACAATGATGGTTATTGTTTTGATGATGTTGAAGGCGAAGTTACATGGCAACAACATCTATCTAGTTTATGCTCTACAAGTGGTGTCGACGTACTATACGAAGGAAACGCTACTCTCCTTGTATTAAGTCGAAACCCACCTAATAGATACGTCGTTGTGGAAACCGAAGATACAGTTTTTGCTTTAAAACTGACAAAACCAGAAGAAATTTGTGCTCAAAAGGCTTGGCTAACTGAACAAAACCGCTTACTTGTAATTTTTGAGGATTCAGTCGGATTCTATTACCATCGTACTATTCGAATTCCTCAAAATACAGACATGATGGCTCAAGTACTAAGTAAACTGTTGTATTTGGAGATTGCAGTAAAAAGACAAATGGCTGATGTCATCTACGACTCGATTATGAAGAGATGTCATTTGAGAGAAAAGATATTACAGAACAGATTAGCAATGGCAAAACAATCGCCCGACGCAGTGGGTAATCTTGTAAAAGAAACCTCAGGATATGTTAGTAGAGTGATGGGAGAAGTACTCTATATTGCTAAATGTAGAGCTGTTGTCGTAGATTATCGGAAGACTTCAGAATGTTATCAAGAACTTCCCGTTACCTATCTGAATAGATCACTATACAGAACTGCTATTACTCACATCCTAGTTGAACATGGAACCAAAGTAGAATGTCAACCACTACTTCCGGTTAATTTCAAGTTGGAAAATAACTGGTTAGAAGTAACACCTGACCTAAAGCGCACCACCGACGCTTTAGAATTAGATGCCAATGATGAAGAAGACAAACTATCAATGCCAAGTATTTCCATCTCCCCTATCAGTTCTAATGGAATTTATTCCAAGGAAGACATGGAAAGCTTCCAGCAAACTCTCCTATATCCAAATACCAGAAAAGCAGTGACTAATCAAGTTGCCAGGAGGATCATAGCGCTCGATAGCTCAGACCCTTATTACATGCCAAATCTGTTCAGCAAAACCGAATTTACCAATTTAGCACATTCCGCTGCTGAGGAAGTGTGGAGATTTTTATCCAAAATGGGAAATTTATTTTCCATTTGTGGGTTCCTATACACCATAGTTTGCGCCGTTAGTTATTTGGCCGGCGTCGTATCAAACTATTTCACCATCAAAGAAGCAACAGTTAACCATCCACGACGCCGACGATACCTTTTAGCCAGTCTGTGGAATACTTTAGCTCATACATATTTGTATCAGTTAGCCAGCCAAAGAAGAAATCGGGACGAAGAAGACCAGAAGAATGAATTGAATCCAGTGTCAGTTAATGCTACCGCCCCCCAGGAACAATCAAGCAGTTCGTTTTATCCAATACTGCCGAAGTCTACCGCGCCGTGTAGTGATCCTAACTGTAAATTGAACAACGAAAAAATTAATCCGCGTGATCCATAGTTCGCGAGTGTGTGCGCTCGTTTATTACGTATTTATAATTGTCGGGATAAGGTGTTATATCTTGGAGGTTTGGTTGGGAGTGATTATTGTTTTGAAGTGTACAAACATGCTTCGAACTTAAGGGGAGGGTAATTTGTAACAGAATTAATGTTAATTTTCAAATCTCGGTTCAAGTTTTAAGAAATAGATAAAAATTTATCTTAATGGGTTTTACAAACATATGGCGATTCTGGGAACGATATAACTAATCTGGTCGAGAATTGAGGAAAAACACTTAAAGCCAAATGTATCAAGTTTTATTAGTTTTCAAGTCGAAAATAAGCCAAATTGACAAATTTATTAGGCAAAATTATGTGTTCTCCTAGATTAACGCCAAATGTGATTCTAATCTGCAGCTGCACTAGATTACGACATATGGTTGTAATAAAGTACCCAAGAACGATATAATTCCCGTTTTATGGTCAGATAACTTATATTCGAAGCATGTATGTGTTTGGGCTAAAACAATGATCACGGAGACCCGATTTTCCAAGATATAATAACACGAAATTGTATAGAATAGGAAAATCAAAGGAGATAGTTAACTATCCAATTATTTTAGGCATAAATTAGTATTTAAGTATAGAATAATTTAATTCATTTAACACCTCAACTAGCAATTATATTTTATAATTTTTAACTCTCCGCTGCTATTTTATTCTATAATTAGTTTATTACTGCTCGTCAAATGCCATTTGTTTTATTAAAATTGCAAGCGAGATAATTAAGCTTCCAAGAAAGTATTCTGCTCTATAAGGTAGTCGTAAGAACGTTCTTGGAGCAAAAATACAAAACAGTTCGGTAACAAGTTTTAATATTGTTTTATGAACGTTTGCACAATGATTTTATATGACATTTTAGCTCACCGAACAAATCTGTTTTATATTAGATTTATATTGATGTTATCTGATACTAGTTCATTAGTTGACGTACATCTATAAAATTGTTTTATTAGCGCTATGTGAAACATTTATAAAATTAGTTTACTAATAGTTTCTTGGGATATTATTGCTGTCTAAAGCATTTTACATTCAGATGGAATCTTGAGAAGAATATTATATAATTATCATGAGCTCTGTCATATTAAAGGCTGTATATAATAATTATAAAACAAAGAAACTGTTTGACTAGGTTAAAAGAAAGCATATAGAATGTAGGATTTTCCAATTAAGGGGAAAACAGTTATTGCAGTTATCGAAATTATATTTCCCATATGACTAGCGAACTCTGTTGGAGGGCTTTCAAACTATATCACTAAGGGTGCAAATAGAATGAACAATATGAGAACCAATGGGAACACGGCAAGAAACCAAAGGGTACTCTCAGCGAATCGCTGAAAGCTAAGAGGGTTGGAGATCCTCGATTCTAGCAAGCCGGGTACGGAGGGGAGCCAATGGGCTTCTAAAGTGGTACCCAGAGGGTAATTCCTTTCGCCTATTTAAGCACATGTAGAGGCCACATAACTTCAGTTATCGCTAATTCGCAACTAGTTTTTACTACGAGTGATCGCTGGAAATTTAAGTCGCAAAGTTTCAACGAGTTCTCGATCCGTTTCTCATCATCTAGTTCTGCCGCCCTGTGTTTTAGTAGAAGTTCTCCAAAGAGGTGATAGTTGTTATTTTTTTTAATTTCAATTCCAATAAAGAATCAGATTTGGGAACTAAACCTTTTAATTGGGAAATTACTCTTTGCTTTCAATTGTCTTTAATTTTTCTTCAGTTAAAAATTAATTATGGTCTTAAATAAGGTAATTTTTTTTTTGTTCTTTTTTTATATTTTACTTAACCTTTTTTTTTATTATCACTAAATAATTAACACTGACTTTTCTTTTCGCTTATAAATAAATTAGTTTAATCTTTCAAAATTACTCTTTTCTTTTCTGGTTTTAAAATTCCCTCTAAAACACTGGTGGACGCGTAAAAAGTTCTTTCGTGCCGGTTTGTGCATTTGAGAAGAGAAGCAACATTGGCAATAAAAAGGTAAGTCTTCTTGAATTTATAACCCTTTGCACTAACCAAAACCGAAGAAGAAGAGAAATAAGGTTTTGTTTGGATTGCCTCCGGTTCAGAAAATTTGGTATCCCTTTTCAGAATAAATTTAATTACAGCATAATTATGGTACCCACGCAAACTAAGATGTGACAGAATTATTCACGCTACCAAAATGTTTATTCTTCGTAACATCTCAAATTTTGTCACATAATTACGAGATATAAGTCGTAATTTCATAATTACGAGATATAAGTCGTTATTACGAGATAATAACTCGTAATTACAAGATAGAAGTTGTAATTTGCAGTATTAAAAAAAAAAAAAAGTATGGCCCTTCCACGCTTCCGTAAAGGAGTGAATATGTTTATATTTGGTTATACGGAGTGGAGTAAATGGATCTCACTTTTTTTTTTGGAAATTTATTTCTGGAAAAGTGGCAAAGGGGAAATAATGAAATATTCTAGAGAGAAAGAGAAAAGTTAGGAGCTCATTATAGGGAAATTTCAAAATTTTTCAATGAAAAATCACTTCAGGAAAAATTCTGGAAAATTGACTCTTTTAAGCAAAATTAAGGAAAGTTCAAGCTCATATTTTCCAGGAGAAAGAAGAAAATAAGATCATTATAGGAAAATTTCAAAATTGACGATCGATTGATGATCGAACACAACTTTTGATTTCAAATATAAATAAAATCCTTAAATTTGCAACCTGTAACATTTATTTAACAAAAATTCTGATTACAAAATCCCTTAAAACTAAAAACTTGGATCGCCCCATTTTGCACCAAAACTACATACAAAACTTGTTCACCTACAAGGAAATAATATCATGTACGGCAACAATGCATATTTCCAAAAATCATCTAACTTCGATACTACAAATTTAAGCTAACAATTGTCTATTTTTTTTTTTTTTTGGCATAGAAGTATCAGGACTTTTCAATCACTATATTCACAATAATTAATTAATTGCGCGTCCGACGCAGACACTAAAATAACAAAAAAAACAGTGTCTCGAGTCGATTAATTACAAATAATTAATAAAAATGGTAACTTTGGCGTTAATGAATGATTTTTTATTAGTTTGTTTTACATATATCACAGCACAGTTATACAAAGCAAGTTTGGTAATTTATTTGAAGCAGGAAACTGTAATAATTGCTCAAATAAACTACGAAACTTGAAAACAATAAATTGCGGGACGAAAAAAACCAAAGAAAAAATAATTAAAAACTCCTTCGATTCAAGTCGCACACTGCAAAACACTTCAATTACTTCTATACCAAGTATTCCACGTAATCTAAATTATCACCGTGCGGGGTGTGCAGTCTTTGCTAAGCGGTCGCTTCGATTTCTTCTTTTTCCGCATTTTTCAGTTTCGTTTTTTCGTCTTCATCGGATATTTCCGTTTGTTGTCGCTTCTCCATTTCCGCCTTGAAGTTTTCGATGTCTTCAGAACTGAAAAAGAAAATATATGCCATTAGTAATTCGAATAGTAACAATTAGAATAGTGCAAACAAAACAGAACAGAGTTAGTGCAAATAGAACAGAAATAAGAACAATTAGAACACTTAGGGTGGGTATTATGAAACTACTTTGAGAGTTAACTTAAAGTTAACTTCTAGAAATATATGTAATTCAAAAAGTTAATTTCAAGTTAACTCTCAAATCAGTTTTATAATACCCACCCTTAAAGTAACTCGAACGATAGAATGAGTTCAAATAAAATTATTGCAAATGGAATGCTCGCAGTAATTTAAATCGAGTAAGTGCAAATGGAACAGAATTAAAACAGACAAAATAGTTGGGACAGTTTAACAGATCAAAAAAAGTCAGGGCACTTGGAACAGTCCAAGTGGAATTATTAAAAACTCAAAATAAATTTTTCTACTACTGTGCGTAAAGTACGCACTTTACGCACTATTCAGAAGACGTAAAATTCCATTTCACACACTAGTGCGTAAAGTAATTCACTTCACACACTAGTGCGTTTTTTTTTTTTTGGGAGGTTAACAGACGATAGCTATTTTTGTAACAACTAGGTACCTGAAATGAAGTTTTTAGACAACCATTCTGAAAATACATACTTTTCGAACGCATTTTACTTAAAAAAGTATGCCTTTCTAAGCCTAGGCCGGGATGCGATGACTTAGGCCAAGAAGTGATTATATACTGTCGCGGCTTTGGGTTGCCTGCTGACAAATCTTGGTTTCGTTAATTCGAAAAATCAAAGTCTAATTAACACACAGCAATAATTTATTCCACTTAATAATACACTCTGATACTAATTACTTTACTAACTCAACAATTAAACTCTTTACAATCACTATTTAAATCGTATCACAGTCGAACTGAAACTAAAACTACAAAGCAATAGCCGCCTTTATATATCCCTAAATCTATTCCTGTAAGATCTAGAATACGCATGATAATCTTATTTTCCCGAATTAAGTAGAATAATTCACTAGATTCTAGTATACTCAAGAGATAATACCGAGAGATTCTTGACAGCCTGGCGAATCATCACAATACTTTCCGGCCTAGTCTGAAAAGTATGCTCTTTCTGGCCAAAACATAGTATACGTAATACTCCCGGAAAGTGTTTTTTCGGACTTGCAGACTGGAATCTTGTCTACTCGTCCGAAAAACAGTACTTTCCAGACTCCTCACGCAATATACTATTTTAGTCAACCATCCAAGGACCTTTTTTTTCAGTTATACATGTAAACCCCATACTTTGTGAGTGGCTTGCTTACATCAAGTCCTACAACTTTCCTTCTACGACTTTTCTCGGAAATGGCACGTATGCGCGCAGGCGACTCGTAAACATGTCGATCTGACGTAGCTGTTTCCTGATACATGTAGGTAAATCTAATTTTACGAATACTGTTTGATTTTTATGTCTAAATCACGGAAATCAACTTGGCCGACAAGCAAGCAAGCCACTCACAAAGTATGGGGTTTACATGTATAACTGAAAAAAAAAGTCCTTGGATGGTTGACTATTTTTGATGAGTCTAAAAAACTTCGAAATTGAATGAATTTCGTTGACAAAAATGTAAAATAAATGTGACATTAAAAATTTGAAACTGATTACGCATTGGCAAGAGCGGCAGGTAAATTTTTTTCTGACTGCTATAATGACTTTTAGGGACTAGGCCGAAAATTTCGAACAGAAATGGGTCCGTAAAATCCTTGCGTAAAATAGACATTTTTGAGAGCTAATACACGACTGAGATTGACAGTTGACAATATTGACACGAGTACTTGGAGTCGGAGGACTGACTGAAAAGAAATCTGTAGAGATCGGTATTACAGTTTTCTGTTTCGATTTAAAATTGCCAAAGCGAATATTGCTTGGGCGGGCGTGAAATGATTTTTTATTTTGATTTTCCTGTATGTTGAGTCCAAAAAGGGACAGGACACGTCCGGGCCCTTGTGCGCGGCACGACCTGTTACTACGTCCCTGTGTAGACAGCTATGTTCCGCCGTCTAGGAAGCGTCAGCAACTGGTTGAGCTAGATTTTGCCTTTGTACAGGTATCAAACTCCCTATGGAATTCTTTTAACGAATTTTCTAACGGCTCGATCTATAATCCAGCCGATAATCCATGTCAAAGGGATAATATTGATGAGCTTAATGTCAATAGTATGCAGCAGCAGGACGTCTGAAGAGATTTAGTTTGTTGCAACTGTCAAAAATCTGGACATTTGAATAGGAATTGTCTAGATCCACGTAAGCCGCATTGCTTTCGTTGTGATGCTCCCAATGTTACCGTGCGAACATGTACTAAGTGTTCGCATTCGGGAAACGATCCTCGAAGGAATCGCTAGGTCATCTTATTTCCTCTCAACTACGTTTGACGGCCGACTCTGTTAAAATTACTAATAAATGTATCCTAGACTATATTATTTCTCACGCTCTTGGTAACCAACGACCATATCTTCAAATTGACATTTTAGGATACTCCATGCTTAAATTGCTTCACTCTTGTGCCAGTAGAACCTTAGTAGGGTTACCTGGTTATGAAATTCTTAGAGGCTTGGGACGCAAATTATTCAAAGAACCTAATTCTTGCACAGTTGCTAATAGTCAGGTGTGTAAAAGTATCGGTTACATCCAAACGCCTGTCACATTGATGGCTAAAACAAAAATTATTGACATCATAGTACTCCCCGAAGTCTCTCATAAGATCATTCTTGGAATAGACTTTTGGTAGCATATAGGAATAAAACCTGATATGGCTCGAGATGTTTAATTGAACCTGTCATTAATCTAATCAACAAAGATAAAAATAGATCTTCCAATCTATAAAGTTTGAAAATCTTCGTGAAACACACAAAACCACTTTGAAATCACTTAGAAACACTTGAGAACACAATGAAAGACGAAATGCAAGACCGGCGAACGAAAAACATTAGGAATAGACCTATCTATTTTGCCAGACAAAGAGGTAATAATACGAGAACTTTATTAGATAGAAAAAGACGCAGAACGCTTATTGCGCAAGACGAGGCAAAACGTACCAAATTATGTTAGACTTATGTATAGCAATCCGTTCTTATTATTTGCACGGGATAAAAAAGGAAGGAGGAAAACCGCGTGACGTGCAACGTATTTGTCAATCAACAACACAAACAATTGAAAATCGATCACTTGTCAAGCTACGTCAAGTTGAATATCAAACATAATTTTATCTTTGTCAGACCACGGGCAATGAACAAGGACAAGAATATGCCCAGCGTGCAAAAGGATTACTTCACACCTGTACTTGTTAGCCAATAAAAATGCATTGCCTCGTGTTGCGCGCGCATACAGGTAAAAATAGATAGGTCTATTATTATTTATGATCAAATGAATATTTTGGCATATTGTCATATGTTGACATGTCAATCTCATGTCAATGTTATCGACATCGGACGTGTTCTTGATGTGCTGGTATTTTACAATTCTGTTGTTGTCAGCGACATCTATAAAAACGGAAAAGAGTTATTTTGCGGTTTATTACTGGCAATAAGAGATCGCAGGGCCTGTTTTCAACCGATTCCGAACCAGTCCGGAACTAATTAGGCAATCTCAATCACGTGATTTTATAATGGCCGTTCGGGTCAAATATTGTGATGACAAGCCGGTGACGTTTATAAGGAGAGCATTTGTATTGTGGCCCTTGTTGCTTTTGAAGTGAATTTTATGTGTTTCTACGTATTGTCCATTGGTTTTGGTCCATTTGGTCATATTATTGTTTTCATAGTGAATTTTATAGATTTTACTATGTCTACGTATTTTTTAGTGTTCAGGCCCTTGTTTACAAAGTGAATTTTATAGTGTTTATAATGTTTCTACGTATTTTTTAATTTAATAATAAATTCTGAGATGGAGAATGAATATCTTAAGGTATTATTATTAAGGGAAAATCGAGCTTTTAGTTGCAGCAATCCATAAAGCCCTGCGTTATTTTGATAATTCACTTTTGTAGATCAAAAGCCGATGATTTAAAATAGCAAGAATTGAATAAAATTTCACATTAGCCCTGTTACCTCAACTTTCACACCCAATTACGATACAAATCGCTGGCATATCAGTCAACACAATACCTAAACCTAAACACACAAAAAAATACAAAATCCAATAATTCAAATCTGACGTTTGTTCAGAATGTGACAGAATCAATGACATACAGAATAAACAACAAAGTGCTTGACCCGAACTTCCATATTGAATTTCGTTTTTGACAGCTCAGTAGATTGCCTAATTGACCTTTTGTTTGGACGCCATATTGCGGTGCGCGAACATAGTTGCCAAAAGCAAAAAAAAAAAATTACTAGCGGGCTGTCAACTTAAAAAAAAAAGTAACTACATGATTGATCGTCGCTATCCTTTTTGTTTTTTTACTTTCCCTCTCTGATTCTATTAGCATATCCAAAACACGTGACTTTGACAAGCAAACAAATGGTTTGTGTGCCTCTTGGCGGCCATTTCTCTGCGTTTACAAATTTTACCGATAGATTCACCATTCTATGTCGGTGATTGTCATTTTCCATTCACTAAACAAAGATAGCTAACTCATAAGTCACCTATTAGAATAAAAATGAGGGGAAAAATTTAAGTTTGACAGCACCTTGACTAGTCAGCTATCCAAAACTGTCACAATGACAAACAAACAAGTTTGGATTAGATTTTCTCATTTATCATTTCAACTGCCACTTCCTAGTCTTGCCACTGGTGATATGTTCGAGGAGGAGGAGAGTGAGGAGACCCTTTTGCACAATAATACATCCAGGGCCTTTACTTCAAAGTATTTGAGGAGATACAGTGGTGGTCATACTTGTAGAATATGCAAAAAATCATCAAAATCGAAGAACAATGTGATTACAAAGTTGTTTTCTGTAAAAACATGCGAAGAAGGTTCTCTTCGAAAACAGTTTTTCTGTGAACAACACAAGCCAGAAAGTAAGTAC